GTTGCATGATAGCATGAAAAACTTGTGTCAGATATAGCAAGAAGGGCTAGATACTCTCTCGGGTGCAAGATCCAATTACTGATTTATACACTTCCGACGGTACAAGTNAGAAGGTTGAACTTGGGTCTGGCTAAGTTGCATGATTGCATGAAAAACTTGTGTCAGATATAGCAAGAAGGGCTAAATACTCTCTCGGGTGCAAGATCCAATTACTGATTTATACACTTCCGACGGTACAAGTCCAAAAAAGTGTAACGCTGTACGAAACTGGCGGTGAGATTCTAAAATCCGAATACTCAATAAAAACACAGTTTATTTTAAAAAGGTCATTGGATGTATAACATCAATGACGGAAGCTTGGAATGTCTAGATTCATACCAATGGCATTGCATGTGTTGAGGGAGCCGATAAAGGCTCGGGTTGAGTTGCATGTGTGNTGGATGTATAACATCAATGACGGAAGCTTGGAATGTCTAGATTCATACGAATGGCATTGCATGTGTTGAGGGAGCCGATAAAGGCTCGGGTTGAGTTGCATGTGTGAGTCTCATCTTATATCATAGCATGACATTAAAGATTCTATTGTTGAATTGCATATTCTTGAATTGAGTGATTATTGCTTGTGAATTACATGTGAACATTTCATATGCATCTAGGTTGAGGAGTTGTCTCTTTATGAGATACCCTATTGAGCGTGGCTCACCCTTTATTGGGACAATATTTCAAGTGTGGGACATGCACCGGTGGACGGCTCTCATTCGGGCCCTTATTAATGAAGAAAAGTCAAAATGTGACTTTTAAACTATGCTTTTGTAAAACTAATATGTAAATTAGTTTTTGAGCATATAATGTATGTATAGGATTGTAATCGAACTCATATCGACTATGTTTAATGTAAAATTGTATGTTGTTATACAAGTATGGATAAATAGACTTGATGTGATCAATGTTGTATGATTGCACAGTTTGCGTTTTGGGTAGAGCTCCTCGTACAAAGGAAACTCTGTCCGAATTTTGTTAAGTTATGGATCCCGATTTATGGGACATAACGGCGTTATATCAAGTTACACAGTATCCCCAGGTATTTCACAGATTGATGGGTGATCAACGAGTTGACAAAGAACCCCCAGTTTTAGAGACGTTACAACTAAAATAGTGTACCATTCTTTGTACATTCTCAAGTTCAATTCTATCAAATAATGGGGATCTCACCCTTTCCTCCCTGGTCACACTAAGCAATGTAGCTACTATGACTACATTGAATTATGGTTTAAATTGTTGCTCTATCAAGATAAATCATATACTCATTCTTGGTTCCTTCAGTTCATTAATGCATGGCCCCCCATGCCCGAAATCGTCCCAGTTAATCTTCAAGATCAAGTTAACTGCATCTCATTTGTTTTCAAGATTAGTCAACACAATTCACAGTTCTCTGCATTGCTCCTCTTCATGAGTAAATACAAGGTTCCGTGACTTCGTAAATGACAATACTCCATTATTGTTGACACAGTTACCCGTCAGTTTTACATCAAATGGTGGGCTAACTTCGACCACCAACGTATTAATGATCAAGTTAAAACAGAGTTCCCAATAAAGGTTCCTACTNGAGACGTTACAACTAAAATAGTGTACCATTCTTTGTACATTCTCAAGTTCAATTCTATCAAATAATGGGGATCTCACCCTTTCCTCCCTGGTCACNAAGACGTCACAACTAAAATAGTGTACCATTCTTTGTATATTCTCAAGTTCAATTCTATCAAATAATGGGGATCTCACCCTTTCCTCCCTGGTCACACTAAGCAATGTAGCTACTATGACTACATTGAATTATGGTTTAAATTGTTGCTCTATCAAGATAAATCATATACTCATTCTTGGTTCCTTCAGTTCATTAATGCATGGCCCCCCATGCCCGAAATCGTCCCAGTTAATCTTCAAGATCAAGTTAACTGCATCTCATTTGTTTTCAAGATTAGTCAACACAATTCACAGTTCTCTGCATTGCTCCTCTTCATGAGTAAATACAAGGTTCCGTGACTTCGTAAATGACAATACTCCATTATTGTTGACACAGTTACCCGTCAGTTTTACATCAAATGGTGGGCTAACTTCGACCACCAACGTATTAATGATCAAGTTAAAACAGAGTTCCCAATAAAGGTTCCTACTCCGGTCACAATTACAAGTACACCTACCAGTACACCACCACCAGTGATAAAATCCACAGCTCCAACACTCAAAGTCTCTACTCCAGGTGTTCCAACACTTCCAGTAAAACAATTCAAGGCTTCACCCAAGACTTCCAGTAATAAGTTTCAACCAAGGAAATCTCAGTTAATTGAGTTAGCCCACCAGCTACTCCAGCAAGCTAGCCTGGAAGAAGATGTGGTTCATCCCACTCATCAGAAGCCTCAGTCAGCCAGCCACAGGATCCGTTCCAAGATGCCCAAGACCTGGATGATGCATATAATCTATCCAGTCCGTAGAACATTCACAGTCAAACTCTTGTAAAGTTACATGTGTGTACAAAAGACCTCAATCACTACTTTCCCAAAAGGAAAGAAAAGCTGCCCTTTTGGTATACATGCTGGANATTCGTAAATGACAATACTCCATTATTGTTGACACAGTTACCCGTCAGTTTTACATCAAATGGTGGGCTAACTTTGACCACCAACGTATTAATGATCAAGTTAAAACAGAGTTCCCAATAAAGGTTCCTACTCCGGTCACAATTACAAGTACACCTACCAGTACACCACCACCAGTGATAAAATCCACAGCTCCAACACTCAAAGTCTCTACTCCAGGTGTTCCAACACTTCCAGTAAAACAATTCAAGGCTTCACCCAAGACTTCCAGTAATAAGTTTCAACCAAGGAAATCTCAGTTAATTGAGTTAGCCCACCAGCTACTCCAGCAAGCTAGCCTGGAAGAAGATGTGGTTCATCCCACTCATCAGAAGCCTCAGTCAGCCAGCCACAGGATCCGTTCCAAGATGCCCAAGACCTGGATGATGCATATAATCTATCCAGTCCGTAGAACATTCACAGTCAAACTCTTGTAAAGTTACATGTGTGTACAAAAGACTTCAATCACTACTTTCCCAAAAGGAAAGAAAAGCTGCCCTTTTGGTATACATGCTGGACAAAGTAAACCCCTTTTCCACCGAAAAAAGAAAAGCTGCCAGTCAGCAACACTCAAAAGGGCAATCATTCCAGAGATTCCCAACCAAAAGCCTACAATACCCAAAGTTACTCCACCTAAAGGGGATGGTGAGATTTCACCAGAGTAAAAGCAATTTCACCGAAGTAAAAGCAGTCATCAGTCAAAAGAGAAATCATACCAACGATTCTCTTGAAAAATCATTATGCCTATATAAGGATTTGAGTTATTCTCAGGAGGGGAGGCAAAAACTGCCAACACCAAGTTCTCTCTTCTCATATCTCCAGTTCTCTTATTGTATCCCACTTTTCATATGATGCAAAGGAAGAACATTCCTCAGTTATCTATTTGTAAGTTAATCGTATTTTGATTCATATAGTAATTGTTCACTTTTGATTCAAATAGTAAATGTTTTTACAAATTCAACTGTGCAATTCCTATGGTTTTATCTTGTTTAAGTTCAAGTCTTGCTTGTTTTGTGCTTCCGCTCCCCCTTACGTTAAAGTTCATATCGTGTAACAATGTACTTAACAGAACATCTATGTGTTTTGTATCTTTTATACAAACAGGCGGGCCTATATTAATGCCTCACAGACTTGAATTTGGCTTTTGGATTTCTGGTTGTATTAAGGAACCCTTCAAAAGTACTCTAAATTTCTCCAAACTATCCACAAAAAGGAGCAAAGGTGCAACACTGCATGATAAATAACCTTAAGCAAATACCTTTGACTGGTTTCCATCTCAAAAATCAATTGGAGCTTATTTGTACATAATACCTTACAGGAAAATATAGAATGACAAAAAAACAACCACAAACGCTGTCTCCTAGCCCAGTGGTAAGCTTCCCTCAAACCCCATTAGACAAAATAATGATACAGGAAAATGTGATCAAACAACTGGACCAACAGTGCATCTATGTAGCAGGGGAGCCTATCCTTCACTGCAATTGTGAAGATTTCCAGGCTACTAATTATAATTTAAATATATTAGTGCAGCAGCAGCACAATATGATAATATAAACATTGGTTAGAAAGATGCATACCTTAATGTAGAAATAATCATCACACCATTTTTTAAATCTAGGATAGAAGCTAGGGTCAAACTTGTCACAAGTACTTTTTTGGACCTACACAAGAAGGCAGACATCGTCATCTTCTCCTCTGAAAGTGCACATATATCATTAAAGAGCAAACAACATTAAAAAGTTTGTGATTACAAATGGATGATCATTTTCTCGTATTTCTTTGTGGGTACAGGGGATATATCATGCAATTTTAGATTTAATAGTCTCATCTACAGGAGGATAATAATTCTACTACCTGTTTTTCAACCATAAACTCTAAAGACATAAAAATCATTAGTGTATTCCAAGACCCACCTCCAAGCTGTTGCAAAGACATCACACATACCCATCTTATTTAGGATGTCATGAAAAAGTTTACAAAGAACTCTCTTTTTCAAGATGTCAATAAGTTGACCTTCAGTGTTCACATAAGGAGTACAAATGGGGCCAGCATTCTTAAGATGATTAGTCACACCACAATCTTATAGTCTCTTTGCAGCCAAACCACATTCTTTCGACAATATCTTCAACTAGAACTTACAAACTCCATGTGTCATAGCTCATAACTCTGTCTCCGCCCTAGATCTAAAGTTCCTCTTAAAAAATTGCAACAACCTTACTAATAACTGAATCAGCCAATCAGCATTTGTGTATAATAACCTCATATGACCATATTTCAAAAATAACTAATCTTTGCCATTAGCAGACTACAAATAAGGGATATCTCTATAAATTCTCTACGTACGTTTATGTAGAATGTTAGGATATTCTAATTAGGGGCATAATTGTAATCTGCAACCTATTATTAGTTAATATAAATAAGAGAGATGAAAGGAGAGTCAAAATTTTGATCCTTGGTTTAGTGCATGAGGTTCCAATCATTGTGAAAAGGGTCAAATGTACGCCATCTTACCTTGCATGCATAAAAGTTATTGTTGCAACTCAAACCTATGACACCTTGGTCACAATGAAGCAACCATCCATTATGCCAAGTAGACATGCCAACAACTATGAGGAGAGAAAAGAGAGAGAGAGAGAGAGAGAGAGAGAGAGTNCACAATATGATAATATAAACATTGGTTAGAAAGATGCATACCTTAATGTAGAAATAATCATCACACCATTTTTTAAATCTAGGATAGAAGCTAGGGTCAAACTTGTCACAAGTACTTTTTTGGACCTACAAAAGAAGGCAGACATCGTCATCTTCTCCTCTGAAAGTGCACATATATCATTAAAGAGCAAACAACATTAAAAAGTTTGTGATTACAAATGGATGATCATTTTCTCGTATTTCTTTGTGGGTACAGGGGATATATCATGCAATTTTAGATTTAATAGTCTCATCTACAGGAGGATAATAATTCTACTACCTGTTTTTCAACCATAAACTCTAAAGACATAAAAATCATTAGTGTATTCCAAGACCCACCTCCAAGCTGTTGCAAAGACATCACACATACCCATCTTATTTAGGATGTCATGAAAAAGTTTACAAAGAACTCTCTTTTTCAAGATGTCAATAAGTTGACCTTCAGTGTTCACATAAGGAGTACAAATGGGGCCAGCATTCTTAAGATGATTAGTCACACCACAATCTTATAGTCTCTTTGCAGCCAAACCACATTCTTTCGACAATATCTTCAACTAGAACTTACAAACTCCGTGTGTCATAGCTCATAACTCTCTCTCCGCCCTAGATCTAAAGTTCCTCTTAAAAAATTGCAACAACCTTACTAATAACTGAATCAGCCAATCAGCATTTGTGTATAATAACCTCATATGACCATATTTCAAAAATAACTAATCTTTGCCATTAGCAGACTACAAATAAGGGATATCTCTATAAATTCTCTACGTACGTTTATGTAGAATGTTAGGATATTCTAATTAGGGGCATAATTGTAATCTGCAACCTATTATTAGTTAATATAAATAAGAGAGATGAAAGGAGAGTCAAAATTTTGATCCTTGGTTTAGTGCATGAGGTTCCAATCATTGTGAAAAGGGTCAAATGTACGCCATCTTACCTTGCATGCATAAAAGTTATTGTTGCAACTCAAACCTATGACACCTTGGTCACAATGAAGCAACCATCCATTATGCCAAGTAGACATGCCAACAACTATGAGGAGAGAAAAGAGAGAGAGAGAGAGAGAGAGAGAGAGAGAGAGTGTGTGGTTGAAAAAGAAAGGACAACATTGGGATTCTACTTTCTTTTCTTCTATTTATATTAAGCCTGGTACAAAGACATAAATAATAAAACATAGTTCAACAAACTAAAGATTTCAATGTTTGCTCATACCGAATGGAAATGCTTGGCATCTTCCTCACAAAGGTAAGCAGGGGTCAAATCCGTACCACCGCCAAACCACCATTGTCTAGGCGCCCCGGGAGAATCTGCAAAAGTATGTAACAACTAATAAATTGAAAGCACACAAAAGGCATACTACACAAATGGTGTGCTACACAGGTTGATATGTAATATCTAACTATGCAGTTCGACAAAAAGACTACGTCATCCAGAAATTTCATTTGCTCTCCCCCCCCCCCTCCTTTCTTCCCAGCCATAATCGCCAAAAAAACATAGGATACAAGCCCATATTTCAGGGGAAAAAATACAAGTATCCAAAGTGAATGGGTGGATTTAAGTATGTTGTTGGAATTTTATGATTTTTTATGGACTTTTGATAACATTAAAGAACTGGAATTCCAACGAATATTACATACTAGTTAAAAATATTGCTCTAATTTACTCATTGTTCACAATGTTTGTTATACTTTCCTTTTCTTTCCTTTTTTTAGCAACTGGATTAATTACAGCAAAATCTTTTACAAATTTGACATGAATTGTGTATTGCAAGATGAGTGACAGCAATAGAAGATATCCACTATTTTTATTGTGTGCACAAAAGATAGTTAGGTTGAAGATAAAAGATATAAAAGGTTAATTGCGATGTGGCATGTACGCTACACAGATGAGAGACGGATTGTGCTTGATTTTAGTTAGAGAGGACAAAGCCTTATTTTTGACTTGTAAACCAAAATTGCACAACTGAAGAGACCATAGGCATAAGTAAATGATAATGTACTCTGCACACACACACCACACACATATACCGTGTATCGAACACCGCTCCTCACCTTTGCTTCCCTAAATCCCCACTCACACAATTCCCACGCTCTCACGAACCATAAACTAATGTTATCCAGAAGAGAAGAGAAGTTATAAAGCCCATGAATTAAGACAAAAAAATCAATGACTTGAAGTTTTTAAGAAGAGATCGGTTCACAACTCACAATAGATAAACAGCAAAATTAGATTGCAAAAGTGGTAATCAATTCTAGATTTCCTTGATGCAATATCACACCATCGTTTTTTATCGAAAAAAATATTACACCATCGTTTTTATCAAAAAAAAAATCACATCATCGTTTTATCTGCAAAATGAACAACACTCTGCTTATCAGAATGTCTGAGTGTGGGTGTGACAACAGTATTTCTTCAGCCAGTTAGAAGAGCTAATGCAAGAGAACTAGCTACTATATGATCAATGGTACTTCAACTTGAGCACTAATTCTTTTCCTGCTTCAACATTTGAGCACTAAATTTTATTTTATTGTTTTGGTCAGTCATTTGAGCACTAATTCAAAATGAATTTTTTCTGGTTTTCCAGTAAACGAGAGAGATAAAGCAACCAGGGCAACACTGCGAATCAGCAACATCATTATGCCACTTAAAACCAACAATGTATATTTCCTAGGAGAGCTGCATACAGGACAGATCGTAGAGCAATGAAAAGTTTTAATAAGTACATGCCCGCGTGAACAGTGCATGTTGCATCAAGAGATTGCTGTGAAAATCTAAAATATGAGCCTGTCGACACTGCTGTGTAACATTGGAAGTTGCTGACTGTCTTCAAAAGAAAGCTTTGACAAAAAGATGAGGTGCTAATGCAACTATCTGTCAAGCAAGCCCAATCCTCAAAATATACAAAATACTTTTTGTGCGGAGACTGTAATAGCCATGAGGATTCTAAGAAGTTGAAATACAAACTCATAGTTTATAAGGGTTTATGAGATAGAGTGCTAAACCTAGGCCGGAAGTTTTGGAATGAGTCCAATCGAGGAGGGTAAGTTTAGATAGTTGGAAAGGACTTTTGAGATGGAAGAGGTAAAAAGGGTTGTTTTTTTATTGTGGTTGCCTGAAGAATTTACTTTGGCACTTTATCAAAATATTTCGGATATTTTCAAAGAGGATTTAGTGAATTTTTCTAAAGTGGAGTAGTTAATGCAATTACAAATTCCACTTTTATTTGCTTGATCTAAAAAAAAAAAAAAAAAAAAGTCTATGAGAATGAAAGATTTTAGACTAATTAGCTTGGTGTCTAGTCTTTATAAGATTATTACGATAGTGCTATTGGTGAGATCACGAGAACCTCGTAGTAATAACATTTCTTAGTTTTTGAGAGCTTTTGCTAAGGATAGGCAAATTCTAGATGTAGCACTTATGGCAAATGAAGTTGTGGAGGATTATAGAGCTAGAGGTGAGGAAGTTTTGTTTTTAAAATTGATTTTGAAAAGGTATAAAAAAGTATATGATCATGTGGATTGGGAGTTTTTGGAATGTCTTAGAGGTGAAGGGATATGAAGGGAATTTTGCTATCATGCTTAATGATGAACCCTAGGGTAGGTTTAAGACAACTTCAAGATTGAGGAGGGAGAGGTGCGATCTTGTGGGAGGTTTTAGTGTTGAGAGAGATACGATCTCGGTTTCTAATTTATAGTTTGTTGATGGTATAATATTCTTCTCTGTGGGGATGAAGAAAACCTCTTAAATATTAAGAATATTGCAGAGTGGGGTGTCAATTGTGTCGTGTTGTATTATTTTTGTGTCGTGTCACTTTTGATCGTGTTATTTTTGTGTCATATCACTTTCGGTACGTGGCGGGTTCGTGTCAATATTCGTGTTAATAAAAAATTATTTAATTTGACAACAACTAATATAATACTATTTAAAAAAATATAAAAATTATAAAATTCTTATTTTCTATCTACAATACTCGTTAAATAATTATTTTCTATCTACAGTACCCATTAATCATGTTATTCGTGTCGTACCTTAATTTGACCAATTTATTACTTGTGTCAACTAATAGTGTTATTTTAAGGTTCTAGTCGGGTTCATGTTAACGGAAAAAATTGACACCCCTATTGCAAAGGTTTTTGGATTGATTTTGGGATTGAAAGTGAATTTGGATAAGAGTGTGACCCAAGGAATCAATTCNATACCTTAATTTGACCAATTTATTACTTGTGTCAACTAATCGTGTTATTTTAAGGTTCGAGTCGGGTTCATGTCAACAGAAAAAATTGACACCCCTATTGCAAAGGTTTTTGGATTGATTTTGGGATTGAAAGTGAATTTGGATAAGAGTGTGACCCAAGGAATCAATTCCCATAATGATAAGGCCACTAGAGTTGCAAGACTCTTGGGGTGTAAAGTAGGAGAATAGCCTTTCAAGTACATAAGTTTACCTTTTGGAGGGAATCCATGTCACTATCTTTTAAGGATTCATTGGTGGAAAAAATGGGGCATAGGTTAACTCTAGTGCAGTCAATAATATTCCTATATATTTTTTCTCTATTTAAAAATCTGATGAAAATTACAATTGAAGATAGAGAACATGAAGAGATATTTTTTTGTCAGAAGAAAGCGGTGAGAGCAGGAAGGATCATCAGATAAGTTGTAATGTTTTTTCTATTTCTANATTTTTCTCTATTTAAAAATCTGATGAAAATTACAATTGAAGATAGAGAACATGAAGAGATATTTTTTTGTCAGAAAAAAGCGGTGAGAGCAGGAAGGATCATCAGATAAGTTGTAATGTTTTTTCTATTTCTAGGGATAAAGGAGGTCTTCCTATTGGAAATTTAAAGGCAAAAACATTGCATAATTGGGTAAGTGCTCCTGAAAGTTTCCAATGGAGTCATATTCTCTGTGGCATTTAGTTATCAAGAGAAACTATGGTTTACATGCCAACGGATGGAATACTAATAGAATAGAATTGGAAGGGGAAGATTCATCTCAAGGTTTGACGAAGTTTTTTTCACATTGAAAAGTTGTGGTAGGTAGTGGAGAGAGAGTTCATTTTTGGCAGGATGCTTGGGTGGGGTAGTCATCTTTTTCACATATATATCCATGTTTCTGTCAATTAGCTTACTCTCATGGTGCTTCCATTGCCTCTTTTCTTGGGTCTTCTAACCATTCNAAAGTTTTCTTCACATTGAAAAGTTGTGGTAGGTAGTGGAGAGATAGTTCATTTTTGGCAGGATGCTTGGGTGGGGTAGTCATCTTTTTCACATATATATCCATGTTTCTGTCTATTAGCTTACTCTCATGGTGCTTCCATTGCCTCTTTTCTTGGGTCTTCTAACCATTCATACTCTTAAGATTTTAGATTCCATAGGAATTTTGGTGAGAGAGACACTAGGGATTTTACTTCATTTATTGATGTTTTTTGTGATTCTTTGTTGAAAAGTCATATGACAAGAGAAGCTGGGCTCTTGAATCATTAGGTGCATGCTCTCTTATAAATCCTTCTTTAATTCGTTGCTTGATGAATATTCTTGTTCTACTTTTGTCCCGGCTTTGATAATATGGAAGGCTAAGCTCCCTATCAAACTACAGGTTTTTGAATGGACTTCTGCATATGGTAAGATTAATTCTTGTAAAATGCTTCAGAAAATAAGGTGTCAAAGTTGCCTTTCTCTTCGATGATGTATGATGCGTAAAGTTGATTTTGAAAGCATAAATCATTTATTTTTTGCATTGCCCTATTGCTTTTGCTTTGTGGTATGAGATATTTCGATTGGCGGATTGAGTTGGGTGATTCTTGCACCATCCCTGTAATACCCCATACCAAATATGTAATGAATATTTAATTATTGATTAATACATCGAGTGAGTGTAACTTAATTAAGCTGTTAAAAAAATCAAAATAATAATAAACCAAGTGTGTCATTGTGATGTTAATGAGAGAGGGGAGTAAAATATAATTTTCTGTTATAATAGGGAGTTAAGTGTTAGTTGCAAAGCTTTATACCTAGTAGGTATAACGTCACTACTTAAGGATTACCAAATGCCCTAGGCAAGGAATTGGGAAGTAGCCGCCACAAGAGAGAGAGGGGGAGAGAGAGAGGAGGAGGAGGAGTTGGATTATGGCGCATGGGTAAGTGCTATAAGTCTCTGTTTGTAAACTACATGACTTTTATATTAATTTTGCTTGGTTAATTGGATTAAATATTATTTTAGGGATTATGATCGTCAAAATCAAATGGTTAGATCATAGTTGATCGAAACAAAATGTTATGTGATTGTTTGAGGTATCGAGATCTTCAAATCTAACAACTTTAATTAAGAGTTAGTAAGTGGTTTATCTCATAATATACATCTGTATCTAAATCTCTTTGTAAAGAGTCTTTTTATTGCCATTGTCATTGTATTCTGATCTATTGTTTAACCGTTGATTTGCGATGTTCATTTGGGCTTTTGTTTGATGGGTATTTGT